ATATTGTAACAGCTGGGGCTTTTGTTTTCACTTTTTATGGGACTATTATTGTTGTTTATGGCATTTTTTAATTTTGTGTAGATCACATGATCTTCTGTTATTTAAAAATAAAAATAAAACAAATGACAGAACAAAATTGAGATATTTTGGTCTGTAAAAGAACATGCATCTTTTACACTTGCAAGAAATAACTTCCATCCAGTGGTCAAAATGGAAATTCAGAACCGCCAGGTGCAGTTTTGTGTGATACATAATTTCAGCCTTTCTTGGTTTCTTATCAAGGCTCCTATATAGCATTCACATGCAGTGATTTCTCAATAATCTAAATAAGTTTTATCAAACTTCTTTGAAGGATACTCCAAAAATAGTCTACTGACACAACTCTTTGAAGCTCTGTAAAGATGTTTAAAACCTACTCACTCTGAAGCCGTGTTTGCCCTTATCTTATGTATTTCCCCTACCTAGAAAGTATATTACTAATTCTGAAATGCCAGAATACTGATCCACTTCAACCACTGACTACTGTGTTAGTAAGACGGATGTTTTACATGTTAGTGCAATAATGATATCAGTATGGTTTGAAACACAAAAGCACATACAAAAATTATCATTAGCATCTTCTGGAATACTTGATTAAGCAAAAGTTCTGAAATAAGGTACTCTGGTACATAAACGAACATGGAGATTTTATATGCACAACAAATAACTTTTTATTTTTACTTAATCCAAAAGATTTTTTTTTCCCAGAAAGGGGAAAATCTGCATGTGATCCATTTAACATTGCCTGTCCCAGTTTGCCTCACTGACTCATTGATGGGCATGGTGAGCTCAGTACCAAAAGCTGAGTGACAGCAGGGACATGCACGACTGGCTTTGGCAACCTCAGCCAGCTGCAAGGCAGCACAGCACCGGTGCTATGAGGTGTGTAGGCATGGCATGCTGCGAAGCTGCTTATGTAGCAGGAGCACGGGCCTTCATCCCAGGAGGTGCTGAGTTACCCTAGAGGTGCTGAGCCCTCTTTTCGCAGCTCAAGTTCCATCCTGGCAGACACCCAGCACCATGGTGGGCTTGGCAGGCTCAGGAGCACACCAGTCGTTTTGCACTTTCGGGAATGAAGCATGCACACTCCTCCCAGGTTCCGTGACAGAGCAGAAGCTCGGTCTATTTTTTTCTTGCCCATTAAGGGCAGTTCAGGTGTCCCAAGAACACAAGGAGGGGCTTACAAAGCCTACGCTGCAGGATGGAGGGACCTACTGCTGAGCAAACCAAGGAATCCTCTTTGATTTCTCCATCCCTCACATGTCTGTGCCCGTGCCATCCAAAATGAGGCCAGAAGTGAGCTGTGCGGCACATCCTCCCTTTCTTCCAGTACAGGTTGTTTTAAGCAGCTCTCCAGTTTTTCTGGCACGGGACATGTGTACATCTCTCTCTCCACCATGTCAGTGAGAGCACAACCCATAGGAAGGGAAAGGTATGGCATAAGGAAGCTTTGCAGAAAATCTCCTTCCTCTGCTTCAGAGATTCTTGTAGCCTAATGAATAAAACATCATATTTTTCCCCATATTAATGTTACCTCTTTAATGACAACCCCATTCTGCTCTGAGTGCTGCACTTCTGTGAACAATGTGCGTGGAAGTGACTTCTTCACACCTGGAAGTAAACAAACTGATGTATTTTAATTCAAACTAATAATTTCTTAAAGTCCATAATCCTTACGGTAATATTCATTAAGCTCTTCTATTATACTTGGTCAAGGAGAAAACTGGTAATTGCGTTTAAAGAAATCATCAGTTACCATTTTAATGATTCCTTATGTTGTGAGTAATTTATAAATCACTCAGTATCTTCTCAGTGAAGCTTGCCTTCTGTTTTTAAAACGTACCTTTTCGTATCCAACAAAGGGTTTCAGTGCAATAAGAATTAAGGTGTGTCTCTTAGCTTTTACCTGCAAGCAATAATGATGTTGTCAAGCGTTTCAGGTGAGACCAGCCCAGGATTTTGGGGTGGGGAAAGACACTCTGTTATACAGCATCTTCGGTGCTTCTCTCAGAGGGAGGCAGAGACACCTTGAAGGGCTGAGTATAAGGACATCTACCGAGTATCTTTTTAAGTAGACACCAGAGTTGGGGGGGAGGGGAAAAGGAATAAACTTGTAACCATAACTCAGTTGGACTTGTACCCGAGAAGTCAGATGCCATGGATTGGCTCCCTCACCGAACGGCTGCTTTTCTGTTCCTTTTATTGGTAAGTCAGATTTTAAAACAAAATTTGTAAACTCTGTGATTATGTCAGTTGAGTCTTCCTCAGCAGACCACAACGTTTTACGGTGTAAACTAGCCCCCAAAAATCTTGTGAATTTTAGCAGAAAATACCCAAGCTGTGCTTATTTTAAATTGCGCTTCTGAAAAATCTGTACAAATAATTTAGGTTTTCTTTGCATGCTGACAAATGTTTCCTTTGATTTTGACTTTCTGCAGTCTGTTGATGTTCAATTTGTGTCTTTCTATGTTTAATGCATGACTTTTTAGGTGAATGTTGTCTTTGGCTACTATTTAAAGAGTCACTGTTGTTAATAAAATTATTATAATTATAAAATTCTAATAACTTGACTGGTTATGATTTGGTTCTATGTCTATTGGGGGTTTTTATCAGTTGAGGGAACATGGAAAACAAATCTCATTTTCTAACCTGATTAGCAAGAGGGCTTCAGAGTACAGCTGTATTCAACAAACAACTGTGAAATTTAGCAAAGACCATAGCTGAGTAATTAAAAAAAAAAATAAAAAAAAGAAAGACTTGGCCTATTATTTCTATTATTTCTATTATTCCTGCCTTGTAGTGCATTAGTGTCTGAGCCGCCATGTGCTGCGCAAGCGAATGCGTGTTGAAAGTGTCACTCTTTGAGTTTGTTTTTCTCGCTGTAGAAGGAAAGTTGTGGCTATGGTCAAGTGGCATAGTTGCAGAATGTGTTCATCAAGGCACAGAAATTATCCAGAAAGGACTTAAAAGAATTATGGGGGCCCTTTTGCTCCTGCAATCTGATTTTTGATTGGATTATTGTTGCTTGACTGAGCTGATCTTCTGAAATAGGCAGAGGTTTAAGGCCCTGAAAATTGAAGAGTAGGATTTCTGTTATAGTTATGTCCTTCTATGGCTTTGGCACAATTTTATATTTTACACAGTGTACTAGTAAGGGTAAATGTCTGATAACTTCTCATTAGTGACACCTCTACAAATGTTATAGTCAGGGAAAAGGTATTTGTTTTTATAGAATATGAAATACTAAGACTTACTTAGAAAAGGTAGTCAATTAACTTCAGGTGACAGCTCTGCAGTCAGTAAAGTAGAATTAACAAACACAGGGCAGCTGCCAAGCAAACAATGGCAAAACCTGGCAAAAGGGAGTTACAGTGCGGATGAGTTTCTGCTTGTTTTAATGCAGCAGAGGTCCCGGAGATTGGCCTGTTGTTCATCACATTAACAGTTCTGGATTTTCATGTAGTGACTATTCAGTTTACTCAGTTACCTGGTGATGCATACTCCTGATTTGCCAAAGTTCAAAACCAAATGTTGACAGAACTGTATCTAATATGTGTCCATTCAAAAGAGATTTTACTGCTTCTCACAGCAACTGTGGAGCCATTTTCATTCTTTCAGTATATTGTTGTTACAATTCTGACCGATGTGTTGGATGAGGAAAAGAAGCAATTGTGAAAACTGCCATTATGTTTCGATGACTATCAAATATTTGAACTTTTACTACCCAGAGGAAACAATTCTTGTTCTTATTATGCATCCTGCACAGCAGAGCTCATGGTGGCCTGTACAGCTTAATAGCATCTTTCAGCGCTTGATAGAAAGCTGATGGACAAACTGTAAAGCTTAAATAAATTCTAAATTATGTACCAAATTTTAGTGTATTCTGAGAAACAGTTTTGGGTTTAAGCTTGATTAATCTTGCATGAAAATTACCTGTCTGAATGGTGTGTCTGGTTAGTATACTGTTAATAAGCTGTATGAAATAAAATTGTTGTGGAGTTATACATATTTTAGTACACTACTGCACTTTCATAAAAAGAAAACTTACCGGTCCTGAAAGTAATAATTTTCTATATGCATTTCACCATTGGTGGGACTGATTCTGCAACCCTTGTTCACGTGACTTCAAAGGCGTTATTCTCATGAGTAAGGGAGCCCTGTTTGTGATACTTGCACAGACACGTTTTATGGAAATAACCTGTTTGATCAGGTATGACTCTTCTCCTGCCAGCTATCATGTGACAGCTAATAATTTTAAATTCACCGCATATCTTATATGCACTTTTGTCTGGCTACATTTTCCCATGTGCTATCTATGCTTCAGGGTTTTTTTCCAGTTAGGCTATAGTTACACCTCCTACTCATAACTTGGTTGCACTTAAAAATATTAAGGGGCTAAATCCTCTCCTTGCCTATGCAACAAAACATCTGCCAGGATGTAGCCAGGAACTTGCAGGCTCATCTGCCAAAGAATTTTATTGTTGAAATAGATACTAATGCAATTCTGCATCCAGGAATTATCACCTCCAATTCAGTTCTTAAGTCTGCATTTTTACACTCCTAAGTAAAAATGGCCCCAAAACAAATGTGCATTTGCAGCTAAGCCATAACAGAATTCAGGTTTTATTGAGGAGATTTATTGAGGAGACTTAGCATGACTAATCTGAAAAACTCAAATTTGAATGATAATAGCATACACCCTATATTGAAATTACTTTTCTGCTAATTTTTCTAATGGTTAGGCTTAGTTACTGTATGGAAATTCTTCACATCAGTTCTTCAAATAAATATGTTTCAAAATAAATAAAACTTGGGAATATATTCTTCTGATTGAGATGAACATTGTATAGCAATAGCAATGGATTTTCCATCACTGGTGCAGTACAAATTATCAACATCAGCTGGTAACACAGGAAGTAATAGAAACACCTGACTTCTGCAGAATTAGAAAACAAAATGCCAGAAAAATAATCCTGAAAAATTCCCTTTTAAATTAGAAGCACCTTCATTAGTAACTGAGAGAAATGAAAAGTACAGACAAAAACACGTTTGTGTTTTGACTTAAAAGTGAATAAAAAAATGCATGCTTTTAAAAATATAAGGTTATTTTGTCCTATGCTACTCATTATTTCGTATGCACTGTTTTATCATTTTTTAAAGAGATGCAGAATGAATAAAGGGAAGGGTTCATTATTTCAACCCTTTAGCAGTTAGAGCTTTGGCTGACTAAGACAGACGTAAAAGTCCCAAAACGCTGACACAACCAGAGCTACCATGGCACCCTCATGACTAATATAATATGTGTGAGTTCTCAGCACTCCTCCCATACAGGCCAGTAACAATACTGCTGTTGACTTCAAAGAGAGAGAAGAAGATCCAATATGAATAATGCTGGGAAGATGTTAAAGGCGTGTTCAGTAGGTGGAGGAGGGAGGATTCCGTAATTGCATATAATATTGCTTGGCAGTCAATTAATGATTAGTTAATTCTTGTTTGTAAATTGCTTTGAAGGTGCAGAGAACTATACACATCCTATGGGTCTGATTCTGTTCCCAGTTACATCAGAATAAATCCAGAATAACTCCAGTGTGACTCTAAGGCGTCATTTTGGGCACAAGATTGAAGCTCTGTATCATTACAATAAGAGACAAGTTTTCAGACTGGCCACTGTGCAAATGACAGTCACCATAAACATGTTTCCTGCCTGCACCTGTCCCAACACAAACCAGAAACAGCTTGTGCAACAAGCCTCTGGCTTCTCTGCAAAGTTTCCATTTTTTCACAGTCTCTCAGAGACTACCAGGACAACAAACCTCAGTATCATTTTGATCAGCTTGCTTACCCCAAGGTTCTCAGGATGCATCCCACACATTCCAGTGGCTCCTATTACTTTAATTATCATTAATCACTGAATCTATGGAAAGTACTGTACTCAGATACTAGTTTACAGGGAAAATTTATTCACTACCTAGAAGCATGCAGGAGTTATCTGCTAGGAGATAATACTTCTCTGCTACAAACTGCACTAGAAAAAAAGAGTTTGTATCACAGAGAGACATTAGCAATAGATAACTGGGGTGTGGGGAGCCTTCTAACTGCTGGTAACAGTGGAGAACTGGAAAACAGTAATTGGGGAGGTAGAAGAACCATGGAGATACAGTTGGATAGATGTCATTTCAGAATTGATGAGGTCTAGCTCAACTTTGTCTGGTGTCTGCCTTCCCTCCTTCCCCTCACACAGCAGCAAGTGAGGGAGAGATATATCAAATGCATACATCAAAATAATAGGATCAGCCTTTTCAAATAATATCACAAACTGTACTAAGGACTCTGGATTCAAAACCATCAAGACTTCTTCCAAGATCTTCCATTAGCAACACATAGCAGAATTGGTTTTTCCTTAGTTAGCATAGGATAAATGTGGAAATATGGGTCCTAAATTTACAATCCCCAGCATTACTGGTGAACAAACTCCTGACATAACCATGGTGCTCAAAAACGAAAGATGAAACTCCAGTGTAAAATATGTATTCTTCATTGCTTTAAAACAGAACTCCCTATAGGCTGAAATCAACTGGGTTTTGAATACTTGTGTCCTTAAAGAGCAGAATACAGGCATAATACTTATTTCAGAGATATTCAATACAGTTTTTCAGATAGGCCTGCTGAGTATGAGAGCGATGTGGCTGTACGTGAGATCTTAGTTTCACTGCTTAATAACAAAACAGGCCACAGGATGCAGACAGTAGACAAGATTCTCTAACATTGCACTGGAAGGTGTATATCCATATTTTCCTGGGTCAAGAAAATTGCTTGCATGCCAGAAGGGATTTCAGCCTAAGGGTGGAGAGGATTTCACTGTACTCACCAAAGGAGGTTCTGCTCTGCTGGTAGGATCAACTGATAAGAGATGTTAATCAGTGCTAATTCTGGTGGACTTCATCACTGAGGTTCTCTGGTGAGGGTAATCTGTCCCTTCTACACCCCATGTTTCCCCAGGCTCCAAGAGGGATTTAGAAAGACAGGCCTGAGCTCCTACTGGGGTGAAAAAAAACCCACAGTTTAAATGAAGTCTGATACTCTCCCTTATCTGAGATGAGTAATGGCTGCACATGAATTTGAGCCCAATTCTGCAACTGAAGATATAAATAGTGACCAAGACATAAACTCAGATTAAAAGTTATATTGATGCTTTTAGCACAATGCAAAGATATTGTAATAATTTTCCTGCAGAGTACTTTTCTTAACCATTTATGTTAATAGCTTGCTCAATTAAACAAGAAAAAAAAACCTTAACCCATGAATAGTCTGATAAATTTCAAGGTGTATGAACACCAAATGATCAAATCCACAGCCTAAATTCCCTCATTTAGAAGCAGATTAGGGCAGCCATTATGTGGAAGGTCTCGGGGAATGTTCTGGGCAAGATCAGATCATTGGAGGCATTGCTTTGTACATGAAATATGGTGGGGAAAAGGGGGAAGACAGAAGACGGAGTGTGAAGCTGCTGTCCATTAATCTGTTGCATATAAGAGGTTGTTTTAATATGAAGTGGAAAAAAGTCTGTGCCCATCTTGCAGCCTTGACAGAACAATGCAATAAATCTGAAGTGAGGAAAGTCCCATGAGGTAAAACTACCATAGAGAAAAAGATGGTCACAGATTTTATCCAGGTAAAACTGACCAAAAAAAAAACCCAAAACACTAGACAAAACATGCCAGATGAAAAAAAAAAAACCAAAACCAAACAACCAACTATTGAACAGTACTGGGAAATTATAAGGAAACTGATAACTTCAGCTGAAAACCACATTTGGTGAAAAAAGAGAAATTCTTCAACACTTTTTGAGTCACTTGGATATTTTGTTTCTCCCAATGATGAATGAATCAAGCATGCAGTCCTGTAAGTCCCATATTCTTCACCATTTATCATCTGAGGAGAGCAGATGCAGGTCCTAAACCCAAAAGAGGTGCACCGAAGAGGTATATCCACCAAATGAACTTCATTTTCACACCTTCTTTAGAAATGAGGTTAATGAAACTGCACCTTCTTTTAAATTATGCTAATCAGGAAATTAAGGATTCTTTATTATTTTAATTTTAAAGTAATTACATATTACGTGTGATCCTGCCACCTTTATTTACTCAAGACCTTGGTTGCATAGTTAGATCTCAAATCAAAGCCCACTGCAATCCAGAGAAATCTGCTTGATGACTGCAGCTGGCCTTCCATCTTATGACGAATTTCTTCAACCTCAGTGGGAAGTTTCACAAAACACTTTTGTTCTTTTTGGTTAAACTACATATAGCAAAGTAAAGTACTTCAGGTCTACTGTGGACTTTCTAAACAAGAAAAATAAAGATTTTTTTTTTTTAAATAAACGTTCTTTTTCTAGTTTCCTGGAAATACTTTTTGATATCAACTTTTACAACCACATCTCTTTTCAGATTAAGTGTTATAACCTACAAATCTGGTGAAACGTGTATTTTGATGTAGGTATAACTTGAAATTTGCTGTGGCACATGCATTTAAACTCAATGTTCTGCCTTGAAAGACAGAATTAATTTTGAAGGTGTTAACTGTTGAGGAATTGAAGTGATAGGTAGAAAAAAAAAATAATTGCACAAAGTAATTTATAGAAATCCTGTACCTGGCCTAGATGGGCTACTGCAACAGACCTAAGAAAAAGTACTGCTCCAGTCCTGCAGTATAGCAATGTAAGGCAATTGGGTTTGCTTACTGCATTTTGCCCTGCATTTTTATATGCCAATCTTCTTATCGTTCTTGCAGGTACTCCTGGATTTCAGCACAGGATTTCATGTAGAGGTAATATATATTTCTTTGGAAACTGTTTTTATGATCAAAGGAATTGTAGTCAATGCAAAAACTAAATGGAAAATACTGAACTAAAATATTGCTGAACCTGAAGATTGAAAATGTATTTAAATATTAAACAGTTGCAGGTAATAACCTGCTTACCCTGTGAAGAGAAGTTCCCATGAGCCTAAATGAGTATCTCATACACAAGAATAATTTTAAAGTAAACATGTAGATTCTTAGAGTTTGAGACTCATAGACAAATAAAAAAGCACAGGATCTATAAAAATTCCTTTTCTCCTTATTGCTGGAAATTCTAAATGTCTGTATTAATTTAAAATGGATTGAGGTTATTGGTCATATGATATTGGAACTCTCTGTCAAAGGTAAAAGAATGGGATGAAAATGGGATGGCAAGATGGAAAACCTTCAGAAGACAAAAACGCGAATGGATCAAATTTGCTGCAGCTTGTAGAGAAGGAGAAGACAATTCTAAGAGGAATCCAATCGCCAAGGTAAGTAGAAGGTGCAACAGAAGTGTTTGCTGACAAGGAAGTTTTTCTAAGGACAGGCTGATAAAAGCAGAGAGATTTCAAAATATATTTGCTTAGATTAGACAAAGCAAGGAACATAGAATGAAAGAAGGATGATGCAAGATTTCCAACTCTGCTGAGGCAGTGCCACAAGGTGAACCCATGTGGCTGCTAAGGAGTGACCAAAGGCTTTCTAGAATATTACCACCAGTCTACTTCCTGGACTGCTCCAATCATAGCCTCTTTGTGTATATCATCTGTACACATCTAGATCATGATATTTTCCTTTTCTCTCTGACCCTGAGAAAACCCAGAGCAGAAGTTCAAGGATAGCATATGACTTCTGTGGGCAACAGAGTAACGAAGATGACCTCTAACCATGACTGTACCCTTACTGAAGTCCAGCCGAGGGGATACTCTTGGAAGTTTCTCTCTCCACTTCCCTGACAGAAGGTTTAAGAGAAATAGAAATCCTGTCCAGCACTTAAGGGGAGACGGATGTCTAGGCTGACTGTTTTGTAGAACCTTCCATTGGTTCTGTCAATGGAACCTTGTGATAAGTGGTTGAGAAACTGAAATTATATAGCATTTTTTACAGGAACTAACAATAGGATAAAAAGCCCTGCAGGTGACCTCAGTAAACTGGAATAAATTATTATTATCTATTATTGTAGATCCGATCAGATTGTGAAGAAAATCATCCAATCACATACAGCATCTCTGGAGTTGGAATCGATCGTGCCCCCTATGGAATATTTGTTGTTAACCCAAGAACAGGAGAAATTAATATAACATCAATAGTGGATAGGGAAGTAACCCCAGTGTTTGTTGTAAGTACTCCCCTCTTTCTTTTACTTTTATAATGATAGATCCAGGGTGGGGCAGGGAGAGCAGAAGAAGATAAATACATTTGTTTCAGATTGTTACTTTGCTTACTTCACTTTTGGTCTTAAAATGAATAAATCTCTTTACCTAGATACGCTGCTTTGCTAAACACTCAGTGACAGGTGTAGATTTGGAACCACCTCTTGAACTTCGAGTCAGAGTTCTGGATATAAACGATAACCCTCCAATATTTGCACAAACTGTATTTACGGGATCTATTGAAGAATGCAGTATGGACAGTAAGTAACTATGTTATGCCTATTATAGTGTAGGTAGCGAAGGTCCCAGAATATAGCTAATACAAACCTGGAGTGCTCATTCTACTTCTTCTTAGGTAATGACATAAAATGGCCAGGGTTACTGCAAAGGAAGGAGCAGTATATGCTTCTCCACATGCTATTTGAGCCAGGGCCCAAGCTTATACCCTAAAATTAACCAGTGATGCTTCCTTTCCTCCCACACACAAACATTGAATGTACCAGTTTCGAATCATACCATCATGCAAATTCTTTCAAGTGTGAAAATTTAAAATAAATCAGTTCATTCCTTATTACAAAAAATTAGCATTATACGTACACTTATTTCCTTTGAAGGTATATAAAATATGGGTTTTCCCCCATTTTTTCTATTTTAAATATTTGTATTTGTAGTCTGAGTATGGCAGTTGCAGTAGAATATTACTAAACCCTTACTTAAACTATTAAAATGTTTCTTTTTACAAGAAGCACAGCAATCCACACTAGACATGCAAACAGCACTAAGGCAATGGTGCCTGACACTCATTTTCTACTTTGCAGAAATTATTTTTTAAAACTGGAGAGGTTCCTTACATGAATATCCACAAGCTCAGTACTTACGTTTTTACATAGCCCCTACATTGACTCAAAGAAGTCCAGTGAAAATCTGCATTGCTCCATTTGACCTTCATTTTTAATGCATTTGAAAGTCATTAACATTCAGTCAGAATCAGTACTGCAAAATGAAACCTTTGGGGTTTTTTGTAAATGTGAGTGAATAGATAACATTCAATCATTTTTATACATAAAGTTATAGCATTGTTTTGATTTTTTTTGCAGGAACAAAATAGATTTGTTTTTTTAATTGTTATTTTTTTATTTTTAGACACACTGGTGATGAAAATAATTGCATCAGATGCAGATGAACCTAATCACTTGAATTCTAAAATTGCCTTCAAGATAGAGAGTCAGGAACCTGCAGGTCCACCCATGTTCATTATGAATAAATATACTGGAGAACTCCATCTTGCAAATTATCTTGACAGAGAGGTAACATTTCCTGTTCCAAAGTTAAATAATATGATGTTGTGGTGTATATGGCGAGGGGGGGAGGAGGGGAGGGAAAAAAAAAAAAAGATAAAAAGAGAGAAAGGTTGTGGGTTTTTACAAAAATTATGGAAGAGATGTATTTTTTTCTATATGTTACAATAAAATGTCTAAGGCAAATTCTGCATTGGGAAATAGCAGCAAGATATGAAAATTTATAATATTTAAGATGTATGGGTAGTCCTTCTAACATGTTCATTTCTCTTTCTGTGACAGCAACATAGTAGCTACACCCTTGTTGTGAAGGCATCAGACCGGGATGGAGCTGCTGATGGAATATCATCCCTCTGTAGCTGTAACGTTAAAGTTATTGATGTCAACGACAATTTCCCAACTCTTGCTCAAAGCTCTGTAAGTTTTTCATACCAAGAGCAACATCACTGTCTTAAAACCCTGTCTAAAAACCCAGTTGATAACAGAGCCCTTACTAACCCATAGAATTCATTCACATTTGAATGCTTCACTAGATTAACATGGTTGTTTCCTTGCAACATACTCAAAATCCAATCTACTCCTTGCACACCAGTTCTGATAACACACATATAGATTGTTTTCGTATCCAGAGAAGTCAGTCCTGACATTGACTTCTCTGTATTCAGAGAAATCCAGTCATTTCATATGTCCAGATCCTTGCAATACAGCCAGATTACACAGATTAACACAATCTTTGTATACCTTTTCTTATAGAAAGCACAAATCCATCTCCTTTAAGATGCCTCTGCAAACACTTGAGGTGCTTCAGCTGCTTATTCTGAACACATGATTTTATCAAATTGTCATGGACTATGGGCAAGACAACCTTCTAGAGAATCTCTGCAGTCAGCTTTGTTTTCTTCAATATATTTTAGTGTTTGCTGATAGGTATTTATCTGTCATTCCAGTTTTCAGCAAGTATTTCAGAAAATTCACTCAGTTCAGAACTGCTACGAATACAAGCTCTGGATGCTGATGAAGAGTTTACAGACAATTGGTTAGCGGAATTTTTCTTTATATCTGGTAATGAAGATAAATGGTTTGAAATTGTTACAGATCGAGCTACAAATCAAGGAATCGTTAGAGTAATTAAGGTATGGATAAATATTGTGATTCAAGAGTTGAAATTATCATTTTAAATAATTTTAATTAACAACATTAAATGAGCAGTAAAAACACTGTCACTCAACCTTCTAAAATATAAAATATTTAAATAAAATTAAAGGAATTTTTATATCTAGTTCTCTGTGGTTTATCTTTTAGGAACTGAATTATGAACATCTTCAGACTCACTCATTAATTATTGGTGTCAGGAATGTAGCTGCCTTCCACCATTCTGTTGCGCATGAATACCAAATATCTGGAACACCCCTCACAATAGAAGTAAAAAATGTGATTGAACCACCAAGATTTAATCCATCTTCAGTTGTGTTTTCTGTATCAGAAAGAACAAGAGCAAATTATGTTGTGGGAACATACACAGCCATCGATGAGGACACTGGAGCTATTGCATCAAATGTTGTGTAAGCTCTGCGCTGCTTAACTAGCTGGGTGGAATAATTCTGAGATGTCAGGGGGATGAGAAATGAGCATTTTAAAGGGTGGTTTTAAAAAACAACTTTAAAAATGTTAATAGATTAGCAGTATAATAATGGTAATAGAATAGCGTATTCTTCTGCCCATTTTTATGCTATGATTGTTTTTGTTTCCTGAGGTACTTTCCTTAGCCTTGTACACAAGACAAGCAAAATACCATTTTTTTCTATCAGGCTGTAAATTAAATAAATCAGAACAAATTTTTTTTTCTAACCCAAACTAAGAATATTTTTTCTTGAAACATTTGCTACATATTCAGAATTTCTTAGCATCTCTAAAAGTATGCAAAAAAAATCCCCAAAATGGGAAATAATGTACGATCAAGATATAAGAGGTCACTACCAGCTCATTCTATATTAAAAAAAAAAAAAAAGAAATTTATTTCTTCTGAAATTAATACTTAATGGGACCATAATTTGCTTTTTAATGTATGTAGAAATAAATGCACCTAATTTACAAAGGTTTGAAAAGTTTTCTTAAAACAGAAAAATGTTAGCAAATACAACTGCAGAATATTATAGGCAGAGCTGTAGATTTAACTACTGATATGAACAGGATTCTAGTAAAGGTTTACAGGGTCCAGAAAAATTTTACTTTTAGCCTATGATACCACTTTCAAGATATAATGGACTTCTTGCATTTACTTTATTCCTAATTATTTTTCTGGTCTGCATTTTTTTAACTCTAAAGGAATTCTGTTTGAACAGGGTAAAATGCAATAGGACCAAGCACAGTCTAAAGGAAAATATTCCCAAGTGACAAATATTCTTTGCAAAATTAATATGTAATAAATATATTCATAACTTAATGATTACTATTTTTACTTCACCAAACACAGATATAGTATAGGACGAGATCCAGGTGCCTGGTTCAGAATCAATCAAAACACTGGTGAAATCACACTGAACAAAATTATTAACCGGGAATCAATCTATGTAGTCAATGGGCAGTACAGAGCAGAGGTTCTGGCTATCACCAGAGGTAAGAAAAAAGATTAAGCTCTCTGAAACTAAACTCTTTGTTTCAGATTTCTCTCACTGTTTCTTTCTGTTTCTAGTTTTCTCACCTGAACTGCATTGTTTATAGTGTCAGTATTCCCTCCTGACCACAAATACCTTCTTTTTATAGGGGTTCCTCGATATACTGCTACTGGCACCATTGTGCTTTCAATACAAGACATGAATGACAATTGCCCAATTATTAATACTGAGTTACGGAAAGTATGTATGCATTCCCCATCAGTGATTATCACAGCAAAAAATATGGATGGTGAGCTATATGGTGCCCCATTTACATTCAGCATACATGGTGAACCTCGAACTACATGGATTATCAGATCAATAAATGGTAAGTTAACCTGCATTTTATTACAGAATAAACCATAGTAAATGCTCTTTCCTAAAATAACAGATTAAGGTAATCCTTTAATAAAAATCAAATCTGTTATTAAGATCTATTCTAAACTCACTTAAATGTGATTTTATGCTCATATGGATTTGCATAGGTGTGTGTGTATACATATATATGTACATACATATATATATGCACACCTCATATCAGCACTAGAATCAGAATCATTACATGTGTTTTAGCTGGTTATCATCTTTTAAAGGAAACTAAAAACATATTGATAAAAATAGAGCAGCAAAACTGTACTTATACTTCAGTGTAACTATAAGCACCTCTATTGGTCTAAACATAATGAGGTAATTCAAAAGAAGTAATTTAGATTAGACATTAGGAAAAAATTCTTTGCTATGAGAGTGGCGAGACACTGGAACAGGTTGCCCAGAGAAGTTGTGGCTGCCCCATCCCTGACAGTGTTCAAGGCCAGGTTGGATGGGACTCTGAGCAACCTGGTCTAGTGGAAAATGTCCCTGCTCCTGGCAGGGTGAGAGGAACTGATCTTTAAGGTCCCTTCCAACCCAAACCATTCTGTGATTCTACGATTCTGTAATTTTATACATTTTTATTTCTATATTATCAAAAAAATTCTAAGCATATGACAAAACTCTCAAGTTTATTTATTAAACTGATTCATTGGCAGAGCTTTATCTTTGTAAGAGGCATAAGAAAATGGCAAATAAATAACAGCTTTTGCAATTTATTGTACAAATTGTACTTAACTTTTATTTCTAAGAAAAACATTTTAATCAGTGCACAGTGAAGCTTTTCCAGTTTTCTTCAATAGGACATGACTATAATACTAAATGACAGAATTTGCATAACTTACTGTAGGCATAGAAGACTATATTAAATGGTAAATATCACAATTACAACTACTCTTGTGTCTCCTATTTGTCCTAAACAGATGCAAATGTGTAACTTCAAATATTTTTAAACTAAACTACTGAAAAAACCTTTTGAAAAACACATTTAAATTCCTTGTAAGAGAAACAAAAAAGTATCAAACTTGTAATTTTTATGTTCACCTTTATGCAAATAAAAAACATTAAAAGCAGCTGTAGATATAAAAAAGTGCATTTGCCTCTTTTATATTTCTCACATTAAAAAGTGATGACTAGACTGACCTGGGTCAGGTTTTCAAAAAGAAAAAACTAGCATAGATGACTATCATAAATTTCAGCTTTGAATAAATACTGTAGAAATATAAGGAACCACATATCTTAGAATGGGAGCACTTCATTCTGTTCTATGAACATTACTCCAAATATTCATTATTCATTTGTACAGTATTTGTAGTCAATACCTTAATCTAAATATATGTCTCTTTTTTTTTTTTTTCAAAGCTTCCTCTGCAGAACTAACAACTCAGAACATTGACTTTTACATTTATAGGATCTATATCAGCGTAAGAGATAGTCAAGGCCGACGCTGCCTTAAACCACATGTAATTCCTGTGCAAGCTTGTCAGTGTGATAGTCGTAATTACTGCACCAGTGGGGCCACAAAAATAATTATCATCGGTGGTGGTAGTGATGGTGGCGGTGGTGGCGGCAGTGACACTGGTGGTGGCAGTGACAGTGGAAGAGGACAGGAAGGTGAAGGAGGACAAGGACAAGGTGATGGTAATGGTCAGACTGGAGCTGAAGGAGGATATACCGAGGATCACACAAATTGGCAGGGTTACACTGGTGACTATGGTGATAATGAGGAATATACTGCAGCCACCGATCAGGGTTATGCCGGAAATGGAAACTATGGCAGAAATCTCGACTCTTCTACCACACTTAGCGGTGCTGCCATTGGCCTGATGTTTCTTGGTGGATTAATATTTGTTTGTAAGTATAAAAATGAAAAAATAATTGTATTTATTTTCTAAAAGGTATATTTTTTTAATTCTTCTAAAACACGGTGACTTTTCTGGTTGGTTGTTAACCTATTAGTTCCCATGGGCCATTTGACAGAAAAAATTGTCTTAGAAATTATAAGAATTTCTACATATTTATATACATATTTTTTTCAGACATAACTGTTTTATTCCTAAAGATTAGGATTTTATTCCTAAATTGTTATCCAGATACATTAGACAGGGTAAAAATGTTTAGTAGAAGATACAGATTTTGGGCAAGAGCTGCCCCTGCAACTTACAACTTACCCTTTGTTATTTTTACTTCAGTTACATTACTAAAATAAATGTACAAGTATCAGCTCCAAGGAAGGTACGAAAAGATGTAAAGAACAAGCTTCTTTTGAACTCAGAGCCAGCATTTCAGTAGTAGAACAACAAAAATAATAACTTTTTGGCTGTTGCTACCAAACGCTGCATCTATTAAAAACAAGTAACAATTGTGATAACAGATTCAAAACAGATCATCCATTCATATGTCCTAGTATTTTTGAAGAATATAAGCTTAGGGATACGATGACTCTAGTTAGGCTTTATGCAAACAATTACTTCTCAGACCACCACAATCAGATGCGATTATCTTTCCTTCATGGCCTGGGCATCAAGCCATCAACATGTAAAATTTCCCAGTGCAGAAATGCTGACTAAAAAACCAGAGGAAATTGATTTTTTTTCCCCTGATTTTTTGAGCAGCGTGGTTTAGTTTGAGTTTTGATTTTCAATTAGTACGAATCAACTAACACAAAATTTTGAATCTGCAAAAGGCTGTTTTGTTCGTAGTTCTCAGGTGATTAATGTTACAGGACAGTTTGTCTTTCTGCCTTTGGAAATCTCTCACAGTTGGCAGTCTAGAGTACATATGTCCTTAGTCATGCAGTGTGGAGTAGCACTCTGTACACTATATAGCCCTTTTCCCTTTTCAGTTGTTAAACTGTGAGTTTTAGATGCTCTGCTTAGTCTAGTGTAGGCAACTGCCACCAGTCCCTCTGAAGTAGTACAGGGTTACTAACTTAGACATCTAGGTTAAGGACCTAAAGATGGCCAGATGTAATATTGCAGTGCCTTTCTAAAGTAAGCAATGTTTTCAATGTTGGCATTTAAAGCATTCAGCAATTTCCCACACAGAGTCCCTGGAACAACTAAGAATAATACAGCACACTGGGAAAACTGGCTCACTCTATGTAATCATTTCTTAAAACCAGAGTTTGAGATTTGCCTCTACTGGTTTTGCCTCTACTTGATTTTTTCAAATCAAGTATTATGTATGTGATGTAAAAAATGCAACCGGACCCGTAGCCAAAGATCACTGCAGTCAGGTGGACCTCTCTCCCCTGATTCTTCTATGTCTATTATAATGTTTATTTCTTTTCAATTACAATATCTGAAAAGGCAATTGTATGCTTATGTATTAAGAATGAATATCACTGAATGCTATAAACAGCACAACTTGTTCTGTTTAATTTTCATATGCATGCAACTTACATTCATTCACCTGAGATAGATCAAAATCTGTTCCCAGGTGTATAGGCATAAATCTGGAGTAACGACCCTACTCCACCCCCATGTTGCTCTACAATAAATGAAGATACAAATTATTCTGAATTTCCAAATACATACATTTCCAAAAGCAGCTAATGATTCTGAAAGCCAGACTTGGAGGCTGCTTGGTTTGAAACATTTCAAAAGACACATTTTCAAAAGTTGCTGAGCACCTGCCTGTAGCTACTTTCAGCAGGTCTCTGGGAAAAACAGCTATTCCTGTGAGAAAGAGATGTCCTAAATCCCTGTTTCCTGTTTCTTTCCTGTTAAGTGATTCCAATTTTGATGTCAATGAGCGACTGTTGTGGATGTGGACCTGGTGCTGCAGGTGGAGTTGGAACTGGATTTGAACCCGTACCTGAATGCACAGAAGGGGCAATTCATCCATGGGGAATAGAAGGTGCTCAGCCTGAAGACAGGGTCAGTACATCCCATGTTTCTAAAACCCACAGTAGCTCATATTTACGGAAAAGACTGCAGTTGATTAGAAGCATGAAAATGATTGTAGTCCTGTGTTGTCATCTAGAAGAAGCCTGGCATTGACAGTAATTGCCAGGCAGATATGAAAGGTGATTCTTAATTAACATTTGGAGGTGGAGTTCATGCATTTTAAGTTATGTTCAGTTAGCTTGGCCCAACAGTTTGGTGATACCTATTCCCTCAACTGAAACACAATAACTAGCAATCTTTATCAGTGCAAAGTAGGACAAGGTAATAGAAACCATCCTCACTGGTCACTTCTTATATATTTACAATGAAAAAAACTTGAATGGAGTCTTTTTCCTTTTTTTTTTTTTTTTTTTTTAATGGGGATGGTAATTAACAGTTACTGTCAACAGTTTAGACTGCTAATTTCTTAACATGCTTCACAACATCTTGGTCTTCATACAAAAATTTAAAAGTCACCATTCATGGAGTCAAAATATTGTTTTCCAGGATGTCTCACACATTCTTGCCCCAACAACTGCTGCAGGAGGAGATTTTGGTGAACCCTCTGGTAAGCAGATCCTGAAGTTTTTTATGTGAGCTGTCATAAAGCTATCTTTCAGAACTTCACATCTTCTGATTCACAGAGCACTTTGGTAATAACCCAATCATACATCAGCAAATAGTCAAAAACTGATGCTAGCAAGACTTCCAGGATGAATAAAGAATCTGAGATTTGAGTCTTTGAGCAGATTCACTTCTGCAAACTACATTTATTTTGAAATATCTGCCAAGGCTTTCAAATCTTGCACAATTTTTCTTTATCATTCCACCTACTGAATAGAGGGACTTCTCAAGGCACCAGTTTTAGTAGAAATCAATCTCGAAGACATAAAAAGGAAATTTTCTTTCATAATTTGGTGGTGGAAGGTTCAGCTCTTCAGAGTTTTCTGGCTCTGCTTCCCACAGGAGAATAGGACCTGTCAAGCAGCCATTTGTGCACTTGCCTAGACAGAAAGCTGGTACATAGCACAATAAATTCATACTTCTGAGATAAAGTTCCCCCAGGGATTCAACGGCCATAGAGAATAAGACAAGCTGAGCAGTGCCACTTCTTCTTTTTCCCCATTCCTTACTCCACAACAGGAAGGAAGGATGCTGGCACAGATCCATTTTCACTAGCTTCTGACAAGAAGACATGTCATTCTGAGAGGCAACTTTTCTAATGACTATTGATTATTCAAAAGTGTTCCCATGCTTAAAGCATAGTCAAAAGGGAACTTTTAGGGACATAAACATGAATTAAGAGTCTTCATTCTCAGGGAAGTTCTGCTGCCATTGAAAAGTTTAAGACTTAGGTGATTTACTTTATTCCCACTCTTCAGTACTGTTATGGTGAAAGTCCCCAATTCAAATTCTATAAACTCAGACTAACAAGATTAAATGAAAAAAAAAACTCCAATAAAATTTAGCCTGTTTCCTAATATAATCATAGTCAACACTACTGTATGCAATTGGTTTATTACATGCTGATATTTAAGACCACTCATTCCTTGTTATCATATATGAAAAAAATGTGGAGAAGATAAAATCCTGTAAGTCTGACTTTATAATTTATCTTAAAGATCATTTTCATTCTGCATTATGAACATTAGTGGTTATTATGTTCCATTGTTTTTCTCCCAAATTCCCCTTAACAATCTATTGACTAGAAAATGTAAGAAAAGTTACAAAGCTATTTCTTTTGGAAAAGAGTTTAAAGCAAAACAATTTTAACCCCAAAGTGATCATAAATAGACATTAATGTATTTGCATAAATATCCACAAGCATTATCTGATTTTCTAATGCAAATTCCAAGACAGCGTATATGTACACCAGACACAGGAATCTCCAGTCAATTACTCAGCTAAATCACTGATTTTCTAAAGCACATATGCACATGCTGCCTAGCCTCAGGAATAAAATCAAGTTCTCAGATGTCTGCTAATATTTAATTCTTAATTGCAGTTTCAATGTTTGGCACCTGTGCGTAGATCTGTGACTAAAATTAGTTTAAAATACCTTTAGAAACTCAGTAATGTCATTGTACTATTTTTAAAAACAGCTGGCAAATTCTGTGTAAATTTTCACAGAGCACAGAAAGGATAACTTCTTCTTTCATTTTCAGACATATATACAAACACATATGGAGGAGGAGTAGTAGCTTCTGGTGTTGAAGAAACTACAGGAGTTGGCTATGGCACTGGTACTGGTTACGGGACAGCTGGAGGAATTTCTGGAACAGGGGAAGTAAAAGGATCAATTGGAGGAACAATTAAAGAGTATCGAGAAGGAGGGGTGAACATGGCCTTCCTAGACAACTACTTCTCTGAGGTAACTGCCTGATCTTCTTTGAGGTATATCTGTGAGCCTGTTAGATTCTCCTCTCCAGCTTACATGGTGAAAATCCAAGATCATAGAATCATAGAATAGTTGGGGTTGGAAAGGACCTTAAGATCATCTAGTTCCAACCCCCCTGCCATGAGCAGGGACACCACACACTAAACTATGTCGCCCAAGGCTCTGTCCAGCCTGGCCTTGAACACCTCCAGGGTTGGAGCATTCACAACTTCCTTGGGCAACCCATTCCAGTGCCTCACCACCTTCACCGTGAAGAACTTCTTCCTTATATCTAACCTAAAGTTCCCCTGTTTAAGTTTAAAGCCATTACCCCTTGTCCTACCACTACAGTCCCTAATGAAGAGTCCCTCCCCAGCATCCTTGTAGGCCCCCTTCAGATATTGGAAGGCTGCTCCACTCAAATTGAAACTTCTGTGATATGAGACTGGTGTGAGAACAAAGCTGATCATACTACTAGGAAAAACTGTGACACTTAGTAGTACCACTTTTGAGCTGCTGCCGTGGTAGGTTTGATTGTTCAATAGCCTTTTTGTAAAACTGATGGACACACTGCAGGTATGGGTAGCAAACAATTAAATTATTGCAGCTTCATAATAGACCACCAAATTTATATATTTGTCACCTTTTTCAGTGTAGAGTTTGATAATAACTTTGTGAAATTGTTCACACCTACTTCCTCTACAGCTTGCTTAATAAAGTCACTTTAACCGTTAAAGAACTGTGAACACCAGTTCACTTTCTTCCTTATTTTTATCGCCATTTCTGTTCCCTAGAAGACTTACTAACTGCAAGTGACACAAATATGCAGCTTTGTAATTAACAACAATTAATTAGCCTTTAAATATGGGGTTAAAAAATGATGATGTTTACAAGATTAATGGATTAATGGGATATATTTTCATAATTATCATGAACATGCATAAATATTACGATCACATATATCACCAAAATATCGATTAATATATAAGTATTGCTGTCCCAAAGTCCTGAGCATGGTCTTCGCCCAGACCACAGTCTACCTGCCTAGGCTGCGAGCCCTACATATGAATTGTCTGCCCGCCATAGGCCTCC